CAATTAAATCTAATGATGATAAAAAATCTTGTGGCAAGTAGGAATAAGCTTTGGCTTTAATTTGTTGAATATAAATTTGATAATTAAAATTTTCTAGCACTTCGAGCTCCATATTACGATTTGAGTTAGGAAATAAACCAAGTTCTCTAAGGTAAATAAATTAAATAAATAACAATAATTATATTATTTAAAAAGTATATATTGAAAAAAAACTTGCCCATTATAACGTTCATAGGCAAAGCACCAGAATGAATACCATGGTCCATAATCAAGCATACATTCTCGTAAATGTTTATGCAAGTGCATATTAGGGGAACAGAAAAGTTTACCATAAATTTGTTCAGCATACTGTAAAAATGCCATCATAGCTTTATGACAAGCTTCAATTTCAGCTTCAGTTATAATTCTTTGGCTCCATATTGACACCACAGTAACAAATGCTTGCCAGCATCGTTGATCAGCTTCATCAAGAAATTTGTGTAAAACATAAGTTGAATAAATCAAAACCCACGTCTTCCATTGATCTGCTGTAAGTGCATCGAAACCTGATGTGATCTTAAAGTTTATACGTCCCATATCAACTGGTAAGGGAGTTGCATCAATTAGGTTCTGAATTTCATGTAATTGTTTAATACCAAGCTTTGGGAAATCCTCATTCATCCACGCATAATATACTATACGTTTACTTGTACCTAAAAATATATTATGCATAGGATCAATTATAGTAAATCGGGGTATATCAATATATGGTAATTCTAAAAGACAAGTCCATCGAATTCCATATTGGTGAAATAATTTTTTTTGCGTTGCTGAATCACTAATTTTGTATTGAAATGCTATTCGTCAATGTTTAGCATTAGTTAATGGTGGATCATCTTGAATACAATTAGAGTAATCAAGTTTGGAATATCCTGAAAAGCATGAAAAAACTCGAGTACATTTACTGCATGCATGTTTTAAAGAATGCGATGCTAGTCCTGTAACCTAATTAAGATAAATAATAAAGATAATAATTAATAATACATGTTTTTACTATTAATTATATCATTGTTATAATA